GAAATGATAGACACGGGCACACCATGAAGATGAACAATCTCCCGGATATAGATCTCAGCTAACTTCTCGGAAGAATAGGAGACTGCCACCGAAAAAATGTGCTGACTTGGTCAGCCTATCAACAATAACCCACACTGCATCGAACTTCCTCTTTGTCCATGGGAGTCCAACAACGAAGTCCATAGTGATACGCTCCCACTTTCACTCAGGAATCTCAATCTTCTGGAATGAACCACCAGGCCTCTAATGCTCGTACTTAACCTGCTGACAATTCAAACATTGCGCCACATATGCAACAATGTCCTTCTTCATTCTCCTCCACCAATAATGCTACCGTAAATCCTGATACATCTTACGACGCCCGGATGAATGGAGTACCGGGAACTATGGGCATCCTCTAAAATCAACTCCCGGAGCCCATCCACATTAGGCACACAAACTCAACCCTGCAGCCTTAAAACTCCATCATTTCCTAATGTAACCTGCTTGGCACCTCCGTGTTGTACCATGTCCCTAAGTACACACAAATGAGGATCATCATACTGCCGATCTCAGATACGCTCCAATAATGAAGAACAAGCGACTGTGCAAGCTAACACATGGATGGGCTCTGAAACATCCAACCTCACGAACTGGTTGGCCAAAGCCTGAACATCCAAAGCGAGCGGTCTCTCACCGACTGAAATATACGCAAGACTGCCCATACTAGTTGACTTCCTACTCAAAGCATTGGCCACCACATTGTCCTTTCCCGGATGATATAAGATGGTGATATCATAGTCCTTTAATAGCTCCAACCACCTTCTCTGCCTCAAATTTAGCTCCTTCTGCTTGAACAAACACTGCAGACTCTTGTGATCCATGAACACCTCACATGACACGCCATATAGATAATGCCTCCAAATCTTCAACGCGTGAATAATGGCTGCTAACTCCAAATCATGAACCGGATAGTTCTTCTCATGAATCTTCAACTGCCGTGAAGCGTAGGCAATGACCTTGCCATCCTCCATCAACACCGCACCAAGTCTAATACGAGATGTATCACAATAAACTGTATAAGGCCCTGAACCTGTGGGCAAAACCAACACTGGCACCGTAGTCAAAACTATCTTGAGCTTCTGAAAGCTCGCCTAACACTCGTCCGACCACCTGAACTGGGCACCCTTCTGGGTCAACCTGGTTATCGGGGCTGCAATAGATAAAAACCCTTCCACAAAGCGACGATAATAGACTGCCAAACCCAAGAAACTCCGGATCTCTGTAGCTGATGCGGGTCTAGGCCAGTTCTTGACTGCCTTTATCTTCTTCGGATCTACCTGAATGCCCTTTGCTGATACAACATGATCCAAGAATGCAACTGAACTCAACCAGAACTAACACTTTGAAAACTTCGCATACAACTAACTATCTCTCAAAGTCTGGAGGACCACTCTTAGTGCTGCTCATGCTCCTCCCAGCTGCGGGAATAGATCAAAATATCATCAATGAAGACTATCATGAATGAATCCAAGTAAGGTCTGAACACTAGGTTCATCAAATCCATAAAAGCTACTAGACATTTGTCAACCCGAATGACATCACCAAAAACTCATAATGCCAGTACCGAGTGTGGAAAGCTATCTTAGGGATATCGGATGCCCTAATCCTCAACTGATGGTAGCCAGATCTTAAGTCAATCTTCGAAAATACCTTGGCACCCTGAAGCTGATCAAACAAATCATCAATCCTCGGCAATGGATACTTATTCTTGATTGTAATCTTGTGCAATTGTCGGTAATCTATAAACATTCACATCGATCTATCCTTCTTCTTAACAAACAACATCGGTGCACCCCAAGGCGAGACACTAGGTCTAATAAAACCTTTTTCAAGCAAGCCTTGCAACTGCTGCTTCAACTTTTTCAACTCAGGCAGGGCCATACGATACGACAGAATAGAAATGGGCTGAGTGCCCGGAGCCAAATCAATGCAGAAGTCAAATATCTCTGTCGGGTGACATACCTGGTAGGTCTGAAGGAAATACCTCATGAAACTCACAAACTACAGGAACAGAAGAAGGAATCTCGACACTAGAATCACGAACATATGCCAAATAGGCCAAATACCCCTTCACGACCATACGCCAAGCCTTCATATATGAGATAACACTATGGGTAGAATGACCAAAAGTTCCTATCCACTCTAAACGAGGTACACTCGGCAAGGCTAAGGTCACAATCTTGGCATAACAGTCCAAGATAGTGTGGTAAGGTGATAACCAATCCATCCCCAATATGACATCAAAATCAACCATGTCCAGAAGTAATAAATCTACACGAGTCTCAAGACCCCCAATCATAACTATACACGAATGATGGACAAAATCTACCACAATAGAATCACCACCGTTGTAGACACATATACAAGAGCACTCAAAGAATTACTAGGCATGACCAGATACGGTGTAAAATAAGATGACACATAGGAGTCTGTAGACCCTGGATCAAATAGAACTAAAACATCTCTACTACAAACCAGAACAGTACCTGTGATAACTGCATCGAAAGCCTCAGCCTCATGCCTGGCTGGAAAGGCATAACATTGGGGCTGGGCCCTCCCACCTTGGACTACATCTCTGGGATGGCCTGCTGCTAGCTGGCCTCCACCTCTAGCGGCCTGACCTCCACCTCTAATACCTCTACCTCCACCTCTAGCACCTCTACCTTCACCTCTAGCTGGTTGAGCGGGCTGTGGAACACTCGGTGCCTGAACCATGGCACGGGAACCCTGATGCTGAGAGCTGCTCGATGCTCGAGGGAAAAATCTAGCAATGTGACCCATATCACCACAAGTATAACAAGCCCTCGGCTGCTGACCCTGACGACCTGAATGACCACCCCGAAAACTCTGGAGCGGCGATGCACTGATAGGAGCTGGTGGTGCACTGTAGGACTACTGATCAGAATACTGCATATGAGAACCGCCGCCACCTGAAGCACCTTGAGAAACCTGAAGTGCTGACTGAAAGGGCCTAGGACGATGGCCTCTACCATATGAATCCCTTCCTCCAGACGAGGTACCACTGAATCTGCCTGAATGACGAGGCCTCTTGTCAGGCCTCTGACCACCTTCCTGCGATAGAACCATCTCAACCCTCCTGACCACATTGGCCGCCTCCTGAAAAGAAATCTCACTCCCCGTCTCCTTGGCCATCTGAAGTCAAATAGGCTGGATGAGACCCTCAATGAACTTCCTCACTCTCTCTCTCTCTCAATGGGGAGTATAAGTAGAGCATGATGGGCCAAATCAATAAACCTGGTCTCGTACTAAGTAACAGTCATAGAACCCTGCTAGAGACGCACAAAAATGGTACACCCCAAGTCGTGGTATTAGGCAAGGTGACCCTATGTCGCCATATATTTTCATTCTTTGCATGGAAATGTTTACTAGATACATAAACCACCAAGTGGACATTAAAATATGGGATCCTATCAATCTCTCTGCGAATAGTTTAGCTCTTTCTCACCTTTTTTTCGTAGATGATCTCACCCTAATAGGCCACATTAACAACAAGTCTTGTAATACTATCCTCTATGGTATTAATCATTTTTGCAACATGTCAGGACAATCCATAAACCTTGTTAAGTCCAAAATTATTTTTTCAAAAAATTGTCCTAATAGATGCATTAATGAAATCTCCAAATTTTTTGGGATCAAAAAATGCGATTCAATTGGAAAATATCTTGGTTTTTCAATAACCAATTCTAGCCCAAAAGCAAAGGATTTCCAGTATATTCTTGATAATTTGATAGCTAGATTAACCATTTGAAAATCGAGCTGCTTAAATATCGCTAGTAAAACTACGATTGCTTGCTCCACTCTTGCAAGCATTCCTAGTAACGTGATGCAATTCACTCTTCTCCCCGTTAAAATCCTTAACTCTATTGGCAAAATACAAAGGGATTTCATATGGGGTACTACGGAATCTAAAAAGAAACTCCACCTTATTAGCTGGAAAACAATTACAACGCCTAAGGATAAATGGGGTTTGGGTTTACGTAAGGCAAAATCCAAGAATTTGGCCTTACTAACTAGTAAGGCCTGGAGTTTTCTTAACACACTTCAAGCCCCATCGACCAACATCCTAACACAGAAATATGTCACCAATAATAGAAAATCAAAGCATTCTCATACATGGAAAATCATTCTTAAGGGTTGGGACATTTGTAACAAAGGGAGCCTATGGTCAATCCATAGTAACCCCTCTCCCTCCATTTGGATGCTAGATGGATTCCAAATACCCCCTTACTCAGAAGCTGTATAGAAGGCCCCTTAAATATTAATGATCATGAAATAAAAATTAGTGATCTCATAATGAACAATACATGGTCTTTTAATAAGCTCTCCTTTACTCTACCACCCAATATCATTACAAACATCATTAATATTTTTATGCCCATTAATCGTTATTATGATTACCTTCTTTGGGAATCCAATACTGATGGTTCCTTCTCCACGGCATCATGTTATTCCCTAATCGAGAATCCTGAACCTAACCTAAAAAAGCATTAACAACTTCAAATGGGCATGGGACGCCCACTGCCCTAATAAAATAAAATTCTTCCTATGAAAATGTTGCCATGATAGACTCCCCTCCCGTTCCTTCCTTCATCATATCGGAATGAATGTTGACAAAACTTGCACTGTGTGTAGGTCAGGTGAGGAAACTCTTCCCCATATATTTCTACACTGCGAAGTAGCTAAACACCTTTGGAAATCCCTTAATTGGGATACCATTACAACAAGCTCAGATAATCAGAATTGGCTAGATGTCGTCAGACATAGTAACCCACTGGTTCCCTCCAACATTATCAATTGGAATCACTTGCTCTCATTCCTTCTCTGGAACATTTGGATTAACAGAAACTATAATCTGGAAAATAATACAAACAATCTTATCTCCTTACCCCATATCATCAACCAAGCTACTGAGTTCCACTATCTTACAGAAAGGGAAAGTAACCATGAAGTGAGACTCAGCTGCAACACGAAATGGAGGAAGCCACAACTAGGCTGGTACAAACTAAATCTCGATGGTGCTCATAATAAAGCTACGAGTGGAATAGGTGGAGTGGTGCGTGACCACAACGGCCACTGGATATTGGGTTTCAACATGAGAGTTCAAGCTGCTTCATGCAGCTATGCAGAACTTCTGACTTTCGAGCAAAGTCTGAATTTTGCAATAGAAAAAAACCTATTTCCTCTAGAAATCGAATCTGACTCGATACAGGTATTACAACTCCTTGAAAATGGCAAAACTACATTTGACTCTATTGTTCATAATTGCAGGTTGTTGCTGTCCATGAAGGAGAAGGACATAGTGGTCCGGCATAGCTTCAGAGAAGGAAACAGAATAGCAGATCGTCTGGCCAAGGAAGCTACCAGTCAGACTGTCCTCAATAAGCTAGTTTATTTTATTAGACCTCCCCCATATGTCGTGGCCAGGATGCTGGCGGATAGGGATAGAGGTGGTAGTATGAAATTAGTGCTAGAAGCACTTGTAGAACTCTAGCTACTTTTGGAAATCTAAATGCCATAGATGGCATTACTGCTTTGTGTAATGATCCAGTGGATCAATGTACTAATATTTCCTAATATTAAATAAATAAAAGTTTCCCTTGTTAAAAAAAAAAAGTCCTAGATATTTATTTAATTATAAATTTATTTCATTAAATATAACATGAGAAATTCAAAATTAAATCGTATTCACAAAGATGAGACTAGTATTTCTTTCGTCCTATTTTAACTATCACTTTAGCTCAAAAAATTTATCCCAAAATAACTGTCACGTTAGGATTTCAAGATTAAATATGTTACTCTCTCCGATTCACTTTAAGTGATTTTTTGGTCTTTTTTTTATTGTCCATGATATTTGAGTTTCTCAAATATCAAGAATTAACTTCTTTTTTTCAAAGTTGCCCTTGGAGTAAAGAGACAAGGAATATTTATTGTATTTTCAATGAGCAAATTAAGGTTAATATGGTCAACTACATTGTTAATTAATGCTAAAAGGTGGATTCCTTAATATGTGTGAAAACAACCAAAATATCAGTTAAAGTGGACCGGATGGAGTAGTTATTTCCTTAATATTAAAGGAATAGCAGTTCTTTTTAATATTGTTAATTTTTCAAAAAGTATTTAATAAGAATAACTCAGTAAAATATACTTTGTGTTTATTATTTTTGTTAGTGGACGAGAAAAGAGCTAAAATTCGATGAAACTGAGGGAGAGAAATTCGTGAAAATGACATTAATGAAAAGTGATTGGTCAAAATTAGGACATAGAATATAAAGTGATCGTTTTCACCAATGACAAGTCCCCACATTCAAGTTGGTCTTTGTCTCGAACGCATCAAACAAGCATAAACATTAAACCATATCTGCCTTCTCTCTCTTCTTCACTCTTCAACCAAACTCCAATTCATTGTTTCCATCAAAAATCCATTATCCTTATTTTATTTTAAATTTTACACTCCACTATATTATATATACATACAACTGGCAGCCTTAAAATCCTGAACCGTACCTTTGCCTCTCTAACAAAAGAGGTGCAGTTGAAGTGGAGTGAGTAAAATGGCAGAAAATCAGCCATTATTACGAAGCGACGATAGCGAAGTGGTGCGTGAAAGTGAAGGAACTGAAAGGAAAAGTACAGCTTCTGCTCGTGTTGTTTCTCTCGATGTTTTTAGAGGCCTTTGCGTTTTTGTAAGGAATTCTCTTTAATTTTTTTTTTTTTTTTTTTTTTTTACGTTTCTGGAACAGAGTTTATTTAATTATGAGAGAACCTAGTTAGATTAGGCCTAGAATAATCAATAAGCACTCGAACCAAATTCAAACTTGTCTTATAGCAGGAAGCTATGCTATTGTAATTTATGCACTTTGAATTTGTGATAAAAAGCTGTCAACTCGAAATTCATCTTCCTTTCTCTTTGTTTACTTACATTTTTTTCAGGAAGAAAAACTTATTGGATATATTGATCTTGTGAATTTCATATGCATGTTATGATTTATGCAGATTGAAGGATTTTCCTTATTTTAACTTCTCGGGAATATCAGGCCTAGCAACTACTAAATATGTTGAAGAAGAATATGCTTAGTTTTCTTTCGGATATGAAGGCATGGCGTATGCAGCTCTAGAAATGTTATGGCGCGGGGGG